GGGATCAAGCTCAGGTTCTTGTGCTTGCAAGGCAGGCGGCAGAACCACTGAGCTAAATCCCCGGCCCCAAAAAGTTAATATTTTTAAAAAACAGGATTTATATGCATCTAAATGTGTATAGGAAAATATATATAAACATTTATATGCAGGTAAAATTTCTCTCTAAGTATTAGAATATTATAGAATGCTGTGCATTTTGTAACCTATTTCTTTCATCCAGCAAAACCTCAGACGTGTTCTTCTAGGACACAATGGCAGTGTCCATTTTAATGCCAAGTCTTTCCTTTACCTGGGTTAACTACTCTTCCTTCTTAAAGTACTTCAGCTTGCTGGCTTTATTACACCTCTGTATTGTTATTTGTTGGTGGTTTTTTTAATCACTGAAGTTTTATATTTCTTTTGTGTCTGTACATATGTATATATATATGTATGCTTGACTGTTCTCTTTCCTGCATTTCTCTGTTGTTTTGGATATTCTAGAAAATTTTTTGACATTTGGTTGATAATCTTTTTTGAAAATGCACCCATCTAATCATTTCAGTGTTGAGTGGGGATACCAGTGACTAGATTTCAACATTGATCTGGTCTCTAGTTCTATTATGGCTTTTCCTCTTGAATATTTCTAAATAGGTAGATGACTTCTGTCCTCTTTATTTTTTTATTGTGTATTGGTAAATTTTAGGTGTGAAATATGATAATGTTCATCATTAAGAATTTTTACCTTATTTTTTCCACATTCCCCCACCCTCTCTTCAACCCCTGCACCTCTCCCTATTGACAAAAACTTGGTTTCCATTTTTTCCTTTTCTCATTTATTTCTTTCCCTTCTTTCCTTTCCTCAACCCCTCCCTCTTCGCCTTTGGCCATCTTTTCCCTATTTCATATTATCTATTATATATTTTGATCCTCATTTCAGTTTCTCACACCAGAGAAACTATTTATACTATTTCACTTAAAAGTATGGCCTGAATGGGCAACCATTTAGCTATAAATGTCTCTAGTTTCTCATTATTTATGGCTGAGCAGTACTCCATTTTATTTAAAAAACAAAACAAAAAACATTTTCTTTATCCAGTCTCCAGTTGATGGGCATTTGGGCTATTTCCAAGTTTTAGCTATTACAAACTGTTGCTATGAACATGGGTGCACATATATGATGTGCTATCATTTTTTCAATTCTTTTTAGGAAGGTACCCAGCAGGAGAATAGCTGGGTCAAATGGGACCTCTAATCCTAGTTCTTTGAGGTATCTCCGTATTGACTTCCACAGAGGTTGCACCAGTCTGCACTCCCACCAACAATGGAGAAGGATTCTTTTCTCCCCACAACCCCACCAGCATTTGTTATCAGTTGATTTCTTGATAGCAGCCATTCTTTTTGGAGTAAGATGGAATCTCAGTGATGTTTTCTACATCTCTCCAATCTCCAGTGATGTTGACCATTTTTTCATATGTTTACGTGCTGCTTCTACTTCTTTATCTGAGAAATGTCTGTTCATTTTAGATGACAGTTTTTTAAACGGGTCTTTAAATTTAGGGATCTGAGTTTTTAAAATTCTTTATTTATTCTAGATAGTAGTCCTTTGAGGAACAGCTGGTAAAATTTTTTTTCCGCATTGTAGGTTGTGCCTTAGCTCTGTTGGTGGTTTCTCTTGCACTGCAGAAGCTTTTTAATAAGGAGATCCCAGTTGTCACTACTGAGATTTTGTTCATAAAGTTTTCTTATGCCAGTGTCTTGGAGTTCTACCTAACCTCTCTTCCAGCTGGTTTAGTGTTTCTGATTTAATATTTAGATCTTTAATATTTAAAATAATGTTTTAATATTTAGATCTTTAATTCACTTCAATTTTTGTTTATATCTAGTTTTAATCTTTGGCACGTTGAAACCCAGTTTTTCCAGCACTATTTATTTATTAAAGATGCTGTCTTTCCTCCAGTGAGGGTGTTTGGCTCCTTTGTCGAAGAAGAGGTTGCTGCGTGTGTCTGGAGTTATTTCTGCATCTTCTGATCTGTTCCACTGGTCCTCAGATCTGTTTCTTTGCTAGTACCATGCTGTTTTTATCACAGTGGCTCTGTTGTATAGTTTCAGGTTGGGGATTGTGATACCTCTTGTCATGTCTTTGTTATATAGAAATGTTTTTGCTATTCTGGGTCTCTTCTGGTCCCAAATTAATTTTCGGATTCTTTTCTCTAGTGCTCTGAAATATACTGGTGGGATTTCAATCTGGATTGTATTGAATTTCTGTAGTAGTTTTGGAAATGTGGCCATTTTCATTATATTGGTTCTTCCTACTCAGGATCAAAGAATATCTTTCTGTTTTCTTACATCCTCTTCAGTCTCTTCAGAGTGCTGTAGTTTTCAAGTTAGAAGTCTTTTACTTCCTTTGTAAGATCGATTCCTATATATTACTCTTTTTTTGATGCTATTGTAAAAGGAAATATTTCCCCAATTTCTCAGTAAGTCTGTTATTTGTGTACAAGCAGGCTATTGATCTTTGAGTTGAGTTTGTATCCAGCTACTCTACTGAATCTGTCGATTAAGCCTAGAAGTCTTTTGGCAGTTTTTTGTCTATCATATCATCTGCAAACAGTGACAATTTAATTTCTTCCTCTCCTATCTTTAATCCTTTTCCTTTTTTCTCTTGTCTAACTGCTGTGACTGTTTCTATTACTTTATAGAACAGGTGATAGTGTGGGGGACCAGCCCCCACTAGTCAAACAGTACCTGAAGGAGAGAGAGGATTGAAAAGGAAAGACACTCTAGGCAGAGTGGAGACAAAAGACTGTCTGCTTTAATTGAGGCAAACCTGGTTCTTTATACACACATTATTAGCACATTATCTTGTGTAGATACACAAGAAACATCTGCAGAAAGACATCACAAGAAAATGTTTAGACACCATAATATTTTACAATTCCTAAGGTCAAAAGGTATTCACATGCACTTTGGGCTGGAATGTGGCTTCCTTAAGTTGATAGATTAGCTCCTTGTTAACCACTTCTAGTTTTCTGCATACTATTGTTAGGTGAGAGTTTCAGTTTCCCCACATGATAGTGGACAGCCTTGTCTTTTTCCTAATTTTAGCATGAAAGATTTCACTTTTTGACCATTTAGTATGATTTTGGCTGTTGGTTTTTCATAGATGGCTTTTATCAGGTTGAGATATTCCAATTTTCTTTAGGGTTTTCATCGTGAATATGTGTTGGATTTTGTCAAATGCTCTTCTGCATCTATTGAGATGATAATATAGTTTTTGTCCTTGACTCTGTTAATACAGTGTATTACATTTATTGATTTATATATGTTGAACCATCCTTGCATCCCTGGGATAAATTCGAATTGGTCAGCATGTATGATCTTCCTGATGACCCTCTGTATTTTCTATGCCAGTATCTTACCAATGATTTTTGCATCTGTGTATCTGTGTTCATTAGGGAGAATGACCTGTAG